TTTTGAACCCCTCCAGCACCGCCCTGGGCAGCCTGGTGCAATGCCTCACCACTCTTTCAGGAAAGAAATTCTTCCTGATGTCCCATCAAAACCTCCCCTGGTATAACTTAAGCCCATTTCCTCTCATCCTGTCACTTGGGAGAAGAGACCAATCCTTACCTCACTCCAGCCTCCTTTCAGGGAGTTGTAGAGAGTACTAAGGTCTCCCCTCAGCCTCCCCTTCTCCAGGCTAAACAATTCCAGTTCCCTCAGCTGCTCGTCCTAAGACCCTTCACCAGCTTTATTGCCCTTCTCTCGACCTGCTCCAGCCCCTCAATTTCTTTCTTATCCTGTGGCACCCAGAACTGAACCCAGCACTCGAGCTGTGGCTGCCCCAGAGCCGTGTCCAGGGCCATGACTGCTTCCCTGCTCCCGCTGGACACACTTTCTGATATAGGTCAGGATGCTGGTGGCCTTCTTGGCCACCTGGGCACATGCCGGTTCATGGTCAGCCAGCTGCCCACCAGCACCCCCAGGCCCTTTTCTGCCAGGCAGTGCAGTTGAGGTTCAGCTGGAAAGTTGATGCATGTTGCACTTTTTCTTCCCCAGAGCTTGATGCCCCCACCAACCTGAGATTTCTCAACACCACGGAGCACTCAGTGTTGGTGTTGTGGACGCGGCCCCGTGCTGTGATCACAGGATACCGGCTGACTGCAGGTCCCACAAGAGGAGGTCAACCAAGGACCTACAATGTGGGACCTTCTGCCACCAAGTACCTTCTCAGAAACTTGCAGCCTGGCACTGAGTACACTGTGTACCTTGTGGCAGTTAAAGATGACTTGCAAAGTGCCAGAGAGACTGGAGTCTTCACAACTTGTAAGTGTCACAGGCACATATTCCTCTTCCCTAACTCCTTGGCTTTTCTTCAAAACTTGTGCTGAAAGTGGCTATTGTGAATTGATACACAGAAGAAGCCTTTTGAAGTTGCCTTCCAGCAGAACTGCTTGGGAAATACTCCTTGTTCTTCTTCCTGAACTGCTTGGCAGGAAAAAGAGGCTTATTTGCATTAAAAAGCTTTTAGTAAAACATTTCAGCTTTCTGGTGATGAAAATCAAAAGGGAGAATTTACTACTGGTACCTCAGTTCTTGTTTAACTAAATCACAAAGAAATTTAAATTGACTTGATCTTTCCAGTTGTTTGGGTTTGTCATGATGAATCAGGGACAGCAAACAGATCCCTTAAAGCAGGCAAGGAATAATTAGTTTGTCATTTGCATGAAGTTGAAGGCAATCATTTCTCAAACCCAACCATACCATCTGAGGTAGCTCTGCTGCAATTACAGAAACTGATACAAATGTTGCAGTCTATTCTCTTTTTTTTTTATATTTCAGTTATCTGTACTTATGCTGTTGGCTTGGAAGAAATACTAAGCAAACTTTGGGAGGAAAGGGAGTTCTGTAAGAACCCACACACATAATTCTAGAAAGAACAAATAGATTCACTGTTTAAATAATGGTGAAGCAGTCATATAAATGAACCAAATTCAAAGCCATCCAAGCCCAGAACCACATCCTCTTTTCAAAAGAGAATGTGGTTTCCTTTAGAACAATGTGAAATTTAAATAAAGGTTCAGATTTTTAATGAGAGTGACACTGTTGACATTGGCAAGTTGCGTTTTGCTGACAGACAGCCTTAGCTATAAATATTTCTCAACTAGGAGATGGTTGGATATCTCAGATGAATGTTGCCTTCAAGTTCCAGCTTATTTAAATGAAACCAGTCCAGTTTAAGACAACAGGTTCATAAACTAATTCTCTTAATTAATAACAAGGTCAATTCAGGTTAAACTCAGTGGAGTTATTTAGATTGATTGTGGGGTACACAAAGGCTTTGGCTTCTATGCGATGCTCCTGGTGAGTATCAACAAGACCACAGATTCCCCAGATTGACTTTGAGCTCCCTTTCACTCTGCTGACTTCAAAAGAGTTGAAGATGTTGGTGGGGGATGAGATGGTCCTAGATGGAACAGCTGGATGACAGAGCAGTGTGTCGTGGTCTGTGATTGAACGGCATATGGTGGGTGAAGGAAAAAATAAGCTGGGTTTTGAGGAACACTTCAGAGATCATGCCAAAAACAATATTCTCCAAAATCCTCAGGGTTGGATTCGTAGAGGACTCATGAGGCCCAGTTCAATATTTTCATTTTCCTCAGGAACAGCAAAAGCACTGGCTATGATTAGACCACTTGCATACTGAGTCTAGTCTAGCAGCAGACAGAAGTAATCTGTCAAGTCCCTCCCAAACTATTGGATTTTCAGAAGTAATGTAGATCAGCACGTACTATGTGCTTCTTGCTATTTGGACTGCTGTAGATCACATTTTCAAACTATTTCGTGTCGTCACAGCAGCTAGACCTCAACTCTGTCAATTCCCTTCACAGATCAGCCTGTTGGCTCTGTTCCTCCTTTTAACACAGAAGTGACTGAGACTTCTATTGTCATCACCTGGACACCTGCCCCAAGGATTGGTTTCAAGGTAGGAGAAACTGAAGTCCCATGTTTCTTTCTTCTCTTGCTTCATTGTGATAGGGAGGACAGGTTAAAGCTGTTTACTGTGGACTGCAGTGGAGGCAGTAGCACAAAGGAGAGGTGCAGAAGTCATGCTGCTGACAGAGGCCAGTGCAAACATCCTCTGGGCTTCAGGTTAAGGTCTTCTGTGAGACACCTACAAAACAAGTTGCAAGATTAACAGTTGGCATTCATCATGCCATGATGCTCCTGTTGCAGGATAAGCCTGGGTGCTGCTAGCTAGCTGGGATTGGAGCTTTGAGACTGAAAAGCAAACTTTGCTGCTTCTCTACAGCTGGGTGTGCGCCCAAGCCAAGGTGGAGAGGCTCCCCGGGAGGTCATCTCTGATTCTGGCAGCATCGTCATCTCTGGCCTGACCCCTGGAGTGGAGTACACCTACAGCCTCACAGTCCTGATGGATGGCCAGGAGAGGGAGACGCCCATCATCAGAAGAGTGACTACACGTATGACCCGTTTGGTTTTCTACAACTGTTCCTTCTTACACTTGCTTGCCTTGTGCACCCCAGATGAATGGCTGTCTCCGGGAGTCGGTTCTCGTCCTTTCCTCCTGACGTAGTCTGGAACGTGGTTTTGATGTGTAGTTGAGAGTAGCACTAGCTCATACAAGGCAGGGTTGCAACTTCAGGAAAACATTTTTAGCTAATTCTAAAGTGTAAGGATATAATCTCTGGAGGAGGGATGCTGAGGGAGCTACCAGGATTCTCAGTGCCATAAATGACCCATTTGTCTGAACACTTGCAGCCTTGTCTCCACCAACCAACCTGCGCCTGGAGCCCAATCCTGATACTGGGGTCCTGGTAGTCTCTTGGGATAGAAGCACCACGCCAGGTAACCATGTCAGCTCGCCCTGTGCATGAACCCACTGTTGTACCAGAATGCTAACGTTTATTCTGCAGTGCCTTGCAGTTAGTTAAGAAGACACTGATTAGAATCTTGGTGTTGAATAATGTAAGGAAACATTTACTTATTTCTAGATATCTTCCAGGATATCATTCACAGTTAAGTATAGGTTGCCATAGGGTTCTTCATGATTTACATTCCATGTAAAATGCTGTATTGGTGTATGAATGTTTTTAAATATTTCAGCTGGTTTAGAGATTTGAGGGATTTCTCCACATATCCCCAGAGGTTTAAAAAAAGTCCAAAGGAAGGAAAACAAAATGGACCAAGAGGATTTCTAGCGGTGAAGAATGAATTTGTGTTATTGAGAGTAAGCGTAGGATTGCTGAAAGTGTCCAGGAGAAACTTTTCTCCCAGAGTAGCTGATGGGAGCTGTACAGTTGACTTCTGTAGAACAGGGGTTGAAAGCTTTTAAAAACCCCCACTCTCAGCTGCTGTATCTTTTCTTGATGTGTCATGAGATTTTCAGTTTGGTAGAGTCTCAAAGGAAACTGAAATGATACTGGGAGAGGGCCTTGGCTGCCTTCTGGGAAGCTTGTTTTGGGGTGCTTGCCAAAACAACCTCTTGCCTGCTGGGCTCGGGGTGGCAAAATCACTTGTAATGTGTTTGCTTTGGTTGTTCATTATGGAGACCTGATGTAAATACAGTGTGAGATTAACACATACTGGTGTATCTGCCTTTCAGGTATCAGTGGGTACCGAGTGACCACTGCTCCTACCAATGGGCAGCAGGGCTCTACTTTGGAGGAAGTTGTAGGTGCAGATCAGACCACCTGCACCTTTGAAAACCTAAACCCTGGTGTGGAGTATAATGTCAGCGTTTACTCAGTCAAGGATGACCAGGAGAGCATCCCCATCTCTGAAACCATCACACAAGGTAATGAAAGGATGAGCAGCACGTTAAGCTACTTGAAGTCAAATTGTTGAGCGTGAGAGCTCTGTGTTGCAGAACTATTAGTCTGATGGCAGAAGGCTTAGACTTCATATTTGTAGAATCATAGTATCATTAAGTTTGGAAAAGAACTCCAACATCATCAAGTCCAACCATCAACCTAACACTACTATGGTCACTAAACCGTGTCCCAAAGTGCCACATCTACACATTCCTTGAACCCCTCCAGGGATGGTGACTGCCACTTCCTTGGGCAGCCTGTTCCAATGCCTCACCACTCTTTCAGGATAAAAAAAAAAAAAAAAAAAAAAAATCTTCCTAATATCCAATCTAAACCTTTCCCACCACAACTTAAGCACCTTTCCTCTCGTCCTGTTGCTGGTTACTTGGGAGAAGAGACCAAGGCCTCATTACAATCTACTTTCAGAGGAGTCTTCTGGTCTCAAGAAGCAGAGTAGCCACGTACCACCACATAAGAGAGCAGTTCTTCTAACCCTGCACTTCTCTGTGTGGGCAGCCTCCATTGTCTGCCAACAGGGTGATGGTAAAGAGATGCATCAGTACACTGAGCTGGAGAGCAGCAGAGATTTAAGTTGACCCTGCAGTGCCCCAGCATCTGGAGCACAGCTGGTGTGAAGAGGAAGTAGGTGAAGAGAGGTATGAATGGGAAATAAACACAAGAGAAATTTTAGCAGTGACAGTGGCAGGAGATCAGTTCAGCACAATGGAGAAGAAAGCCAAGATTGAAAGGTCCATCACTGTAGCACTTCTGGGACACAAAGTGGCATGTGCCACCCACATTACATGAAGGTACCTTTGTAGCCACAGTTATCAAAATTAATACACATCTCCCCAGATGGTTTCCTTTTTTTTTTTTCTTTTGTGAGGGCTTTTTTTTGTTGTTGTTTCTGCTCAGCCCTGAGATGATGCCAGCTACTGTGTTTGCTTGCTCTCATAACACTGCTTTAAAATTTCTGTGCTTCACTGAAGTGCTGTATGCTCCCTGGGGGTGAACTAATGCTGTGACACTGCATCATTAAAGCAGTAATGGCTTTAGCCCTTCATCTTCTGGTGGGGGAAAGCTAAGAATGTATGTCTCTGGCTTTCAGCACTCTTTCAAGGTGATATGGTACATGCATTCCACGTGGGCAAACAATGATTTTACAGAAAACTGGCATTTTTTGCATCTTTTCTGTAAAATAAGTCTTCTAGAAGGATGTTAAAATAGAACATAACCACTCTTATTAAAACCAGTCTTTTTCAATGTTACAGTTCCTAATTATGTTACTGTTCCATAATTCCTTTTCAAGCTAACTTGTCATGACCCAACAGAATGGAGACCAAGTCCTCCATCTTTGACTCACCTTCTGGTGTCTGATCCTGAGGGAGGAGGAGTATCTATTAGCTCCCTCTGATTTCAGGATCAGCCTGCTAAAGTTACACAGCCAAATCTTATGGCTTAAATCAATACCAGTCTATTGACTTGAGCAGCTGAGGGTTTGGCCACTGTCAATGAAAGATGCATCTAATGTTCTCTACTCCCTGCCCGGTGCTGTTGGTCCTAACATGCAGGGAAAGAAGAACAGCTTTCATACCAGGAGTAATATTCATAGGGGAAACAGTCACAGCTGCACTTGTTTGCCATACAGAAATTCAAGCAATATATAGAAGCTCGTTAAAGAGGCTCCTTATTCAGTGGCTTAGTCCTGAGACTTTAAACAATTTAACCAACGAATCAAGTCGGCCTCTTGGCCACATAGTGTTGCATATGGGGGAATATGGGGACGTTGTCACTGTTACAGATTTCTTATCTAAAGGTAATTTCTAACCATTTGCCATCTTTCCAAGAAAGTATTTTATTACTTACTGTTCTGTGTCATCTGTTTTTAGCACATATATTGTGGCAGTTAGTGGTAAGTAGAACTTGAAGAATTCTGGGCCAGATCCTCAAGCTGTTATGGAGATTTGAGACTTGTTTTCAAGTCCAGTGTAAACAGTTTGGATAGTGGATAATCTGCCCTGAAGCTTTTTGATAGTTCTCTGCCAGCTGAGGGTGTGGTCTGATGTAGCTCCTTCAAATGGGTTTATATTTTGATGATCCCAACGATAAAACTTAGACTTGTCATCTGAACAACACGAAAATTCTAGAGGGTCAACTGACTATTATTTCAGAGGAGTTGTTTATACATTAGACTTTGGCCTCTTGTTTTCTATATGAAAAAAATATTGACCTTTTTCTGTTCCTAGCTTCAACAGAAAAAGATGGGTCTTTATGGCTCATCATTGCTCCAGCTAAATTTGTTGCACATTAAATGCCTCTTGTAAAAGGTGCATTTTTGAAAATAGTAGGTCTGAAGTAGAAGTGTTTTGTCTTCAAGGGTCAAGGTTTCAGCTTCAGTCTGCCTAGGGAGGCAGCTGGAGACTGCATTTGAAAGGTACAATGTAAAAAAAAACAAAAAAAAAACAAAAAAAAAAAACCAAAAAAAACCCCAACCAAACCCCAACAACAAAACCCCCTAAAACACCAAACACTCTCCTTTTCCCCCAAACCCTAAGAGAAATTCTGCATATCACCGCAATTGCTTCGTAAGTTCTGTCAATGTTAATAGTGATGAACACTGCTTTTTTCTCCCTTGTCTTTCTTTTGCTTCCGTGTGTCTTTGCCTTTCCTGTTTGCTCTTTAACTCATTAGAGGTGCCCCAGCTCACTGACCTAAGCTTTGTTGACATAACTGACTCAAGCATCGGCCTGAGGTGGACCCCGTTAAATGCCTCCACTATTATTGGCTACCGCATCACAGTAGTTGCGGCAGGAGAAAGTGTCCCTATTTTTGAAGATTTTGTGGACTCCTCAGTAGGATACTACACAGTCACAGGCTTGGAGCCGGGCATTGATTACGACATCAGTGTAATCACGCTCATTAATGGTGGAGAGAGCGCCCCTACCACTCTGACACAGCAAACGGGTGAATGTTGAAAACTTCTGTGTTTTGTGGCGTGGACGGTGTCTCAGGCTGTCACTGGCTGTTGGGACGACGGGGCTTTGTCCAAAGAGGGATCGAGCCGCTCGCTGAGGGGCAGCCAGCCAGACCCAGCTTGCTCCTTGCTCGCAGTGGCGCTGCTAGCTTTTTGGATTTGAGGTGTTTGAACACTGTCAATGGCTCCAGACTTGCCAGGCTCCTTCACTTTCTGCTATTCAGATTTGCAGGGTCCAGGTGGAACTAAGAGCCTGAAACATGAGCTGTATATTCCCCAGACTTTAAAACTTATTTCCCAAAATAAGAGTGCTAAGGGGTGGAGCAGTTCAGCAGACACCCTCCAGCCTCGATGGCCCTTTGAGCTTCCAGCACTTTGTTGCAGCGGTGGCCCTTTCCACAACGCCCCGAAGGAGGCAGGTGAAGGAGCACTGCCCGAGAACATGCCACTGACAGCCATGCCACACCGTCAAGGGTCTCTAATGCATGAGCAGGTGGCCAGCTGAAAACTGGTTCTTGCATGAAATCTTGTTGTGTTTCAAAATCCCGACGCTGTAAATCCTTCGACATTAGTAGAAGTAGAATTGTAGGAAATTAGTGATATACCCTCTCCTCTCTTGTGCGTGCATGTATGAATTCTAGGTGAGATGACTTTTCCATCTGTAGACTGCTGTAAGGCAACTTGAAACCTCTCTTGGTTCCACATCTGTAATATGAAATCCAGCCCTAAGAAGTGCCTTACTGAAATTGCTACCTTGTTTTCAGATTAGGCCCATGGGGTCTATTTAAGCTATTGGGAATTGCCAAGAGGTTAAAGGAGCCTGACAGTAGTACAGACCTATTTTAACTATAGTAGAACTGAATGTAGTTTAGAAGTCTGTTTGCATGGGTCTGACACAGTAGTCTGTTATGCATGAGATACTTTCTCCAGTGATTCCCTGAACATACATCTTGATCAGGTTGGATCAGATGGAGAACTGAGACGTGTGTGTTCTTTGCTGTGTAGCTGTGCCACCTCCCACTGACCTCCGCTTCACTAACGTGGGGCCTGACACTATGAGAGTGACTTGGACTGCACCAACTTCCATCGTGCTGAGCAGTTTCCTCGTGCGCTACTCGCCCGTGAAGAAGGAGGAGGATGTTGCAGAGCTGACGATTTCACCCTCAGACAACATGGTGGTCTTAACAAGTGAGTGGGTTACTGACATAAACAAATATGAGGCCTCAAATATGACACAAGATGAGGCAAAAGGAAGATAGCTTACTCTGAGTGTAACTGGACAAATTCTCAGCTATCTAAGCTGATGTCCAAATAGCCTCTTACAAGCTCACACTAAATGGCATTTGGCTACTTGCTTCACTCAAGTTTAAGCCAAACCACAGGAAAATTTTTCCCATCAGTCCAAGGACAGCAATGATTCAGACTATGGGGCAATTGCATTGTTTTGCAGCCTGGTTAGGTATTAAGACTAAGTACATATTACTCACCTGTTTTTTCCAAAAAATGTCAAGGACTTGCAGTGCAGAGGTTCAGGGAGAGGATTAAAATGCACAAAAGGTCATTGCTCCTTTGGCTTTGTATGCTCAGGACCAGAAAATAAATACTGTTTGGAACCTTAGTGGACACAGTAACAAAATGTGGGTATCTTCAAAAAGCTGACATGAATTTTTTTTTTGGTGCAAATGCTGTGTTATAGTTGAAGTGCTTTTTTTTTTTTTTTTTTTTTTTTTCCCCTGTGTCCTAGAATGAGATTGATTGAGTGAAAAAATAACCCACTTTGAGAATGAGACCAGATCTGGGGCTCCTCTGAGTTAGAATAGCTGTGGTGGAAATCCTTGGCCCTGTTCCAGTTTATATCAGCTAAAGCTTTGGCTTGGTGCATAGCTAAACTACTAGGTGACTAGAAACGACCTTGTAGAAAACTAATTGCTTCTAGCCAGTCTCCACAAACTAATGAAGTAATGATGCAGGATACCATGCTCCTTCAGGCTGAAACATTGCAAGCAACCATAATGCCATGAAAAGAACTGATTTAAATTTTTGGCTATCCTGGAGGATCTTCCATCAAGCAAGACCTCTCTTAAACAGTTAAAACTGTGTAGAGTGAGTGACTTCTAGCTATTAGTAAAGAAATATGTCTAAATACCTGTACTTAAACTTCACAGATCTGCTTCCTGGTACTGAATATCTGGTGAGAGTTTACAGTGTTTCTGAGCAACATGAGAGCGCACCTTTGTCTGGAATCCAGAAAACAGGTACTTAAATGCACCCTGAGACACACGTGTGATTATTGCCATTCATCAGAGCATTCAGTAATGGGACTTGGTTGCCTTTTCTTGTGTATTGTCACCTTGTTGATGGGTCATCAGCTGGATATCAAAGTGCACTTGAGACATGGCAGTGGTGATGATGACCAGTAGTTCAACTGAGCTCAGCCTCTTGTCTCTTTGAAATACCCAGGTCTTGATTCTCCCACCGGCCTTGACTTCTCGGATATAACTGCAAACTCTTTCACCGTCCACTGGATGGCTCCTCGTGCCACCATTACGGGCTACAAAATCCGGCATCACCCAGAGAATGGTGCTGGCAGGCCCAAGGAGGACCGCGTGCCCCCCTCCCGCAACTCCATCACCCTCACCAACCTGCTTCCAGGGACCGAGTACGTGGTCAGCGTCATCGCCGTCAATGGCAGGGAGGAGAGCATGCCCTTGTTTGGACAACAGACAACGGGTAAGCCTTGAGGGAATGCTGGCTGAAAGTTACCGTGAGGATTTTAGGTGTCCTCTGTGATACTGAGGTAGGGCTTGATTTAGAAAAAGGCAGGAGGACCCGTGCTACTTTCAGATCAAGTCGGATGTCTTTAGGGCCAGTAGAACTTTTCTCATTAAATCTAGTCCAGTGCCAGATGGTCTTTAACCAGATACATCACTGGTAGAGATGTGAAAAGGAAAAACATGAAAAACTTTCCCGTGAGGGTGCCAGAGCTCTGGGCCAGGCTGCCCAGAGAAGCTGCAGAGTCTCCTCCTCTGGAGAGATTCCAAGCCCGCCTGGATGTGATCCTGGGTGACCTGTTCTGGGTGACCCTGCTTTAGCAGGGGGGTTAAATGAAATGATCTTTAGCGGTCCCTTTCAACCCCCACCATACTGAGTTTCTGTGTGCACTAGGCCAGAACTACGACAGATACGTAGCAGAGTAGCATAGAATACGTAGCTGATGTACTTTACCTGTGTTGAAACTCTCAATTCTCTATTTTTCTAGTTTCTGACGTTCCAAGGGACTTGGAAGTCACCCCCACCAGCCCAACCAGCCTTGTGATTTCCTGGGATGCTCCTGCAGTGACAGTCAGATACTACCGGATCACTTACGGTGAAACAGGTGAGTGCAGGCTGCTGTGGCCAGCCACAGACCAGAACCTCTGTTCCGAGGCCATTAGAAAGCCACAGAGAACAGCAAAGGAAAGTTTGTCTGCTGCAGTCAAACTTTGGTGTCTGAGACTCTTGCAGCATATTAAGAGAAGATTGTCAAATACAGGTGCCTTTGTTTTTTGAAAGGAGACTAAATTTTTTGTCAACTAAAAGAGCAAGCATCTGGAGCACTCCAGTGGTTTTTGAGGTGGTTCTGTGTTCTTAATTCATTCTTTTCCTTGGGCTGCTCTGAAACAGACGTTGACCCAAGATCCACTGAAAATCAACAGGGTCCTCTCTTCATTTTGGTGCACATGAGATTTTTCTGGGGGGTTCTAATGAATTAAAATGTATCTTTTGAGGTCCATCACGTTTCTTTTTTCACCCCACCCTCCTTAGGTGGAAGCAGCCCTGTGCAGGAGTTTACAGTGCCTGGCACCATGTCTACTGCTACCATCACTGGCCTCAAACCTGGTGTAGACTACACCATCACTTTGAATACTGTAACTGGCCGTGGAGACAGCCCTGCCAGTAGCAAGCCAGTCACCGTCACCTACAAAACAGGTGAGAGCTGCTTAAACAAAACAAAGAAATGTACCCAAAATAAAACCCCTACAGCTTTGTGTTGGCTCATCTCCATAAATTCGTGTCACTGATGCCTGGTTTCTTTTAGAAGTCATGGCCTATGTTGTAAGCCCATCATTTGCAGTGGAGCTGCGTATGATAATGACATGACACAGAAGGGGATCATGGACTTGGACTTTTGGGGGAGGGAGACCCTGTGGAGTCCAGATGGGGATAAAAGCAATGTTTGACTGCTTATTGCAGAGTGGAAATGCTCTGCTGGTCTCTCACATCATGGGGGCACTCTTGCCTTACCTGTGCTGCTTCTGGTGCACTGTCCAGTGTGATCTTGATGAGACCTGACTTTCTAACTCCAGGGCTGTCATCTCGTTCCTGATCTGGATAGAATCTAATCCTACTCCTACTGTAGCTGCAGACAAAGGCATTTAGTAGCCTTTAAAACAAAGAAAATCCTCAACTAACATTGATAAGAGGGCAATTGCCTGCAGAGCACAGTTAAGGCTTTTTTTGTTCTGGGCTAGCATGAGGGACAAATAAATAGCAAAATGTTACCTGTTTGAAGAAGCACAGCCTAGAGAAGGAAGAGCAGAATTAAATTCAGCTGGGAGGCCACGGTGGAAGGAGGGTTTCCTGTACCAGCATACTCAGAAAAATCTATTTTTGTTGCTCAGAAATAGACACACCATCCCAGATGCAAGTTACAGATGTCCAGGACAACAGTATCAGCATCAGATGGCTCCCTTCAACATCCCCAGTCACAGGCTATCGAGTGACAGCTGTCCCCAAGAAAGGACATGGGCCCACAAAGACTAAAAACGTCCCTGCAGGTAAGAGTACAAGACATCCCTCACCAGACCTGTAAAGAATGCAAGATGTGACCACTACAATCAGCCCTGTCAGGCACTAGGCATATGCTCAAAGCCAAAATTACTCCTGCTTGTGCCCTATTTTTTGCTATCCTGCTGACTTCAGCTGGGTCTCATCCAGGAGAAGCTAAGGCAAATTTTTGCCCTGAAAGCTTTGCCTTTCTTTGACACCACGGTGTTACAAAGGTTTTTTCTTGGCAACCTCTATCTCTGAAAGGCATCTGGGTTTCCAAGAAATGCCATTGGATTTTCTAGCACCCAGCAAAACTTCCTCTGAAATCCTTCTGAAGGTCACATAAGGTGACCCTTGGTCATAGCATGGACTCAATCACATAGACTACAAGCTTAACCTTGTTACCACAAAGCCTGCCCAGTCAGCTCTTGGGGTGTCTTCAGGAACACTGTAGTTTGTGGGATCTGCAGAGATTAGCACTCAGGGATGCTTGTGATTCAGTTGGGGTAATGGTCTTATCCCAGAAAATCCTGGAGGTTAGTCTTCTCTAGCTTCATTTTTGTTACTGTGCTAACCTGCTGCGGGGCCTTTGAGCAGGTACAAATGGCAGATGTCTTGTTGTGTGCTGCCTGAGAAGTGTAGTGCAAGGAAAAGGCAAACTTGGTACGTCAATCCTGGCTCGTTTTAATGACGTGTATTAATGGCATGGCTTACACAGGCCCTTCATTCAAGGCTACGTAGAGGCCAGTTCTCTGCAGCTTTGTGCAGCTGCAGCTGGGCTGATGTTCTTCTTTCCTGCCAGATCAAACGCAAGTCACTATTGAAGGTCTGCAGCCCACAGTTGAGTACATGGTCAGTGTCTACGCTCAGAATCAGAACGGCGAGAGCCTGCCCCTGGTTGAGACAGCCGTCACCAGTACGTATTGCACCGCACGGTAACAAACCAAACGTTCGCCGCTGGTGTCCGGATCTACCGTGCAGCATCACCTTCCCAGGGAAAGGAGGGGCAGGTGCCTAGTCTCCAGGAGAGGGCAAGGTGGTCTGCCCTGTGATACGTATCATGCACTTAATTTGCAGATGCTGGCAAAAAATGCAGTCCCTCTCCCTCAAACACTGGCAAAATGCAAGTCCCCCGTGCCCTCAAAATGCTGCGCTTCTGATTTTCTTTCACTAAAGCTGCAAAAAGTCCTTCAGCCAATCGGTGGAAAAAATGTGCAGAGATGTCCTTTTTGGAGCTAGGTGGCAAAGGTGATTACTGGTAAGGGACTGGGCTGGGCTTGGGAGTACTTGCCCTGTGCAAAGGTGTAAAGGAAACCACACACAAGTTGTGTCAAGAAGGGGGGATAAAATACTGCAAAAGAAAGGATGGCTCAGCTCTTGAACATCTGCCTCTACAAAACAGCAGTACTGCTCTGGACACAGGAGGCAGGAGGGAACATGTAACTTAGAGGGGTATCTCTGATGTAAAGTGCCTTTTCCAGGGACACCTCTGGGGTAAGAATTTGCATGCACATTCTTCCCTTGCTCAGGCTTCTATTCAAAACCACAGCTCAGCCCCAAATACTTCAAGTTGTCCTGAACAACAGGAACTTCTCTGAAGCTTTGCTTTGCTCAGGTGGGAAAGGACTCCACATCAAATCTCAAACCAACAAATTCCTGGATAAAAAAATCACCTTTGCCAACTAGAAAATGTAGAAAATTCAGGACTAATATAACGTGGCAAATAAACTTGAAATCTTACAGAAAAGCATAATTTAGATGTAATATAGAAATGACATGCTGTATCCTTCCATTTTGTCTGGCAAATGGGTATAGCTCTGTGGTGGCCCCACTTTAGACTTCTGTGGAGCACGGCTCGCTCACCTTGCTCTTTAGCACTGAGCTTCCACTTTGCTAGGAAAATCCAATGAATTGATCAAATTCAGAAGTGTGCCTTTCACCCAGCTGCACCTGTGGACATTCCCTGTGCACTCAAGACAACACTGAAAAGTTTTTTTCTAACTGATTTAAAAATATACAGAGTAATTTGCTTTCTTGATAAATGTGTTTAATTGGATATTAATTTATGAAAGGAAATAGTGGGACTGATTCTCCTTGGCATGGCACTTTGCACAGCAGCTTACAACAGTGAAAAGCAAACAGTGTGAATCCAAACTTACTGAGTCAGGTGGGACAGGTTGTCTGGCTGCCATTGGCACTAGAAACCAGTTACTGGCTCTGATGGTAGAAACAGGTCTTAAAATTCCCATTTCTTTTTCTTTTGCTCACTTTTGCTACTTTAAAGTAGCTTAATGCTGCTAGAGTTGCCTAAAGGGGGGTTTCAGTGTTGAAGGGACTCAAATGTAGGTGACCATTAGTGTCCTGGCTGCTTTGAAGGTGGCTGGGCAAGTCCCATTGGTTTCAAGAAGGCCAAGATTGCCTTCCAGCTGTCTGGCAGCCCCAGACTCCCAGCCTTGCTCTGCATGGTCTAAGCATGTGTGCAAGGTGCAGCCCAGAGGAGAATCAAGTACCCCCTCTCCTGCACAAAACCGAAAACCGCTTTGCATGTAATAGAAGAGCTTTTTATTTTCCTCACCCACAACCTGCTTTTTATCACATAACCTCTTACTGTTAATTTGCCTAACAGACATTGACCGCCCTAAAGGACTAACATTCACTGAGGTGGATGTTGATTCCATCAAAATTGCTTGGGAAAGCCCTCAGGGGCAAGTAACCAGGTACAGGGTGACCTATTCGAGCCCTGAGGATGGAATCCATGAGCTATTGCCGGCCCCAGGTGGTGAAGAAGACACTGCTGAGCTGCATGGCCTCAGGCCAGGTTCTGAGTACACTATCAATATCGTTGCCATATACGATGACATGGAGAGCCTGCCCCTCACTGGGACCCAGTCCACAGGTACACCTTTAACTACACCACCCAGCAGGCCACGGCAGCAGTGGCTTCTGCACTGCTGGGTAAAGCCTGCTTCCACGTGCAGCCGGTGCTCCATGCCGGGGAGGCCCCAGGGGCAGCCCAGGGGATGTGACTGCTCTTGCAAGATGGCTCCGTTGGTGTTGTAGAGCTGGCTGCTGGCAGAATCAACCTATGGATGTGTTGGGGAAGGCAGGGGATGCAGGACAGATCAGCTGCTTGAAGGATTGGATACTAGAGAAAGGAGGGATGTTACCTTCTAGCCTTTTCTCGGTCCTCGGGTGGATCAGTGATGTCTGGTCCCTAATCATGGAGCCTGACGTGGTGAACCACCCTCTCACAAGGCTCTTGTCTTTAGGATATGTGGCACCTGCAAGCAGAGGCAGTTAGCAACAACAGAGACTAGAGCAGCTTTCATCCTCCAGGTCCTCACTGTTGGATGGGCCAAAAGATCAACATGAGGGGCTGGGGGATTCCTTAACCCGCTCTGGAGGTCTCACAGAGCCTCCAGGTCCCTCACTGGCACTGCCCTAAGGACTACAGTCCATGCACATTTCCACACCCTGTGCTCATGTCACGTCCACCAGAAGAGGACATGCTCCACTCAGGAGAGTCCCTTATATGCCAGTCTGACCCAGCTCCATGTGGAATACACTTAAAATTCCGTTGTGAACAAGGAGAAGGAAGCTAATTGAGATAAAATTACTTCCAGCAGTATGGAATCCATTGCAAAGCTTCCAGTGCTGCCAGATGTGTATTTATTACAAAGGTAGCACCTTTGGAGTAAAGGTTTCTTGTTCATTTGTGGATGAGAAGTTGATACTGTAATTCCAGGGGTGTAATGAAGCCAGTGGTTCCTAGTGTTTAGGTTGTTGTACTAAACTGAAGCAAAGTGCTGTGATGATTGAAACAACTGGCTGACTACCTGCCAGACATGCAAATACAGTCGTTTTTGAAACCCACTCTCTGTAGTTTACCCTTTGTGGTCTGTTCAAGAACATATTTAAAGTCATTTGAGACTTCCCGTTGGCTCTCATGGGCTTAAGATTGAGATCTGAGCAAAGCAACAAGGGAGACTTATCTTGTATTGCCACTCTATAACCTTCACAGCAATATGCTAATAGCAGGCAATATGGTAAGGTCTGTTTTCCCCATTTATAGCCCAAGGATTACTGACAGTAAGGCCAGAAAATGTTTCAATGGATGCTCCTTTTTTTATGCCAACCTTTGTTTTTAAAGGTATCTGACGTGTTAATTCATGAACAGACTCCTGTGTGATGGGCCTTATGGCCACCACAGCTCTGCTTTTCCATTGCCTTGCTCTCTGTGTAGTAATTTACACTTGTGTAAGTGGCTGTAAAATGCTTCCCTTCTGCATTTGCAGTATTTTTATATCCTCTTTGCAATTCCTGAGCCTGCTTCCTACTTACTTTGGTAAATCATCCATCTTTTAGAAAGGAACAGAGATAGCCAAGTGAAGCAGGACTGAACTATTAGCTATGTGATGAAAAGCAGAGACAGGCAGAATAATTAAAACAGACTGGCATACTACACGTTTAAGCATGTCCCAAAGCCTTCATCTTACATTCAGCAAGTGTTGTTATTCACCTAACTTCAGGGTTGAAGCATCAAGATCTCCTTATTTCTGCTGGGAAGTTTTACTGTAGGGTCTAAGAATCTCCTCCTGAACACCTTGTCCTTTCCCCATGGTGCTTTATGCCTGTGTTTGTAAAAAGCACACCACTTTTCTGCTCATGTATTTCAGCCCTAAACCCATTTCATATTCAGGAGAGTATTATTTTAGCTAAGACTGTCTTCTTTAAACTAACCATGTGCCAATCCGGATCTTTGCAGCAATTCCACCTCCTACAAACCTGAAGTTTATTCAGGTAACTCCCACCAGTCTTACTGTCAACTGGAATGCACCAAACGTTCGCCTCACTGGCTACAGAGTCAGAGTGAACCCCAAAGAAAAGACTGGTCCTATGAAAGAAATCAACCTTTCTCCGGACAGTACGTCTGCTGTCGTGTCTGGATTAATGGTAATTCTTTTCTTTGTGTGGTGGGAAGGAGTTGTTAGGAGAACTTGAAGCAATTTCAAATTCCTGGGTCAGGAACCTTAGCTGGAGTAGATCATTAGAGCTCCCAAGGGTCTGCCTCTGAAGTCTGACTAGATGTCAGCTGTAACTGCTCCTCACCATAGTTTTTTTTTTTAAAAGGCAAGGAACTGGCCTGCTGAATCTGCATTCTTTTCCTTGCCTCATTTAGCACAGAGAGACTGGATGCCTTAATCAAATGCAAATTATCAGGTTCACAATCAACAGTAACTCAGCAAAATGCTTTTACTCATCTTTCACAAAAGAGGTCAGATAAAGTGACCTAATGCAGAGGTTTTCAAGCTGTGAGATGATAGCTCTGGCAGTCTTTTGCCTATCTTTAAGACATCTGCGAAATGTAAGTAAAAAAAATGCAAGTCTTTAGTGAGTAGGCTTAAATTTGCTATATAGCCATCTTCTCCCCTGGAAACATTTCAGGAGTTCCTGATCTGGAAAAGGCTGAAAATCACTGCTTTTATGGTTCCTGCTGTCTTAAAAAGCTACTGATCTGTTTTTAAGGGCTTTTATGAATCATTTTCAAAAATGAGCCTTAAAAAACAGTGTAATCTAAGTGGACTCCTGATCTGATGCAGTCAAGGACGAAAGACTGTGCTGTAACTTCCACCATTATCTTTTCCTCACAGCAAGAGCACCTTATCATAGCAAATGGCATCCATTAACCCCAGGAAAAACAGGATGTAAATTAGGTTTCTCTGAAGAATCAGCTTTGGAGCACAGATTTCAAGATAAGGAGCAACAAATAAGCTTCTTCCAGGATTTCCTCTGCTCCTGGGTGTGCACATGCACACTGCTAGTATTATCTACAGCCCTGTTTGTCAGGGTCAATGTCTATTCTTTTATTACAACTGGAAATAACTAGTATTGTCCCATTAATCCTTCACTGGTTTGAGTCCTTTTAAGGTTTTATACGTCAGTAACTGGTGACCAAAAAATGTGGCTCCACCAAACACTGAATGGTGTATTTCCCACACTGACATGTCCTTCTCATAGCACAAAATAACTCTGTTCATTCTAGGTAGCAACCAAGTATGAAGTGAGTGTCTATGCCCTGAAGGACTCTCTGACCAGCCGACCAGCCCAGGGCGTGGTCACTACTCTTGAAAGTAAGTAGTGATCCTCCACAAATGACCAGTTAGTACTGTGCTGGGTGCAGAGGCAGAGATCCTACTCAGCTGGGAAGTTTCACAATCCCCACTGTACTGACAGGAGAACTTTTCCTTCTGGTGCAGATGTTAGCCCCCCTCGCAGGGCCCGTGTAACAGATGCCACCGAGACAACCATCACCATTTCCTGGAGAACCAAGACTGAGACCATCACTGGTTTCCAAGTTGATGCTGTCCCAGCAAGTGGCCAGAACCCCATTCAAAGGACCATCAGCCCTGATGTTAGGAGTTACACTATCACTGGTAAGTGGGGTGCTTCTGCAAGTGCAGGAGCTTCCAGGCTCGTACCTGAAGGTACACTGAGTTGTTGTGTTGTAGTTCCATTTCCTTGATGAGAAATACTATAGGAGCATCCCTAGCATGGGAGAGACAGGTACCTGTTGGAGCAGGTCCAGAGGAGGCCACAAAAAAGACTCAAGGGCTGGAACAGCTCTGCTGTGAGGACAGGGTGGGAGAGTTGGGGTTGTTCAGCATGGAGAAGAGAAGAGAAGAGAAGGCTCTGAGGAGACCTTATTGCAGCCTTCTGGTACTTAAAGGAGCCTATAAGAATGATGGGGATAATCTTTTTAGCAGAGCCTGTTGCAACGGAACAAAGGGTGATGGTTTTAAACTAAAAGGGTGAGGGTTAGACTAGACCTAAAGAAGAAATTTTTATGCTGAGGGTGTTGAAACACTGGCCCAGGTTGCCCAGAGAGGTGGTAGGCACCCCATCCCTGGAAACGTTTCAGGCAAAGTTGGACGGGGCTCTGAGCAACCTGTTCTGTTTGCAGATGTTCCTTCTCCCTGTAGGGGCATTGGGCTAGATGACTTTTAAAGGTCCCTTCCAACCCAAACCACTTTGATTGTAACAACATGGGGAAAAAATGAGTCATAAAGAGTAGTCTCCAAGAAGAAGCTGTTGAAAGACATTCTGATGCCCCTTTTAGATGGCTTTCTTGATTGCCTAACATTTATATTTCACGTTCATTGTAGGCTTGCAACCCGGCACCGACTACAAGATCTACCTGTACACGCTGAATGAGAACGCGCGCAGTTCCCCGGTAGTGATCGATGCCTCCACTGGTAATGAGCTTGCCTGATTTTAGTGCTCATGCTAATGTGTGGTAATTACCTATGGCCAGGCAGAAGCTGCCTCCATCTGATCACATATAACACTCGCTATGACTTACAGCAATATGTTTTACTCCTGAGTGGGAGAAGGGTGTCAGAAGATGCAGTCCAGGTGAAGAATATGCTTGCCTCTACTGCATTTGATTTGTTTCCTTTTGTGTTTCCCTAGCCATCGATGCTCCTTCTAACCTGCGCTTCCTTACAACCACAAGCAACTCCCTCCTGGCTACCTGGCAGCCTCCACGAGCCAAGATCACAGGCTACATCATCAGATACGAGAAACCTGGCTCGCCAGTCAAGGAGGTTCTGCCTCGCCCTCGGCCTGGCACCACCGAGGCTACTATTACTGGTACCTGTCTCTGTTCTGTTTGGGAGCTCTTCATCTGAAACACTGAAATTTGAAGAGAGAGGGGGAAGGCCTAGTTACAAAATGTGTTGACAGTCAGCTAATAGAAAGACAAAATTTGTTCTTTTAATGACAGCGGTCCTACAAACTCGATACATTTCTCTGAACAACCCATAGCTGTTTTACACTGCCCCCACGACTGGCATCTGTTCAAGGAAAAATGCCCATGACTCTGGCACCCCATCAGTCAAATGTTCTGAAGATTCGTTATGTTTTGTGTGTGCAGCATCCATGTTCCCAGCTGATGTGGTCAGATTTCCAACTTGCCTTGATGAGCAGGAGGCTGGACAATTTGCACTGTCTTGAAAACCTCAGATCCAAAATGCACATAGTCACACCCACCTCTCATCTTCCCTTAGATCTCACACCTAATCATAAAAGAGAAGCAATCCTTAAGTTTAAGATTGTTTTATGTCCTTCCTCCCTCCCTAGGTTTGGAACCTGGAACTGAATACATCATCTATGTCATTGCTGTGAAGAACAATCAGAAGAGTGAACCGCTAGTTGGCAGGAAAAGGACAGGTAAAACAGAACTCTGGATTATTGTGTGCCAGCAGGAGATGGGATCTTCCACTTGGGGAATACAATCTCAGGACTGAAATAATAATGCTATTTAAAATAATCCTGTTCACACCATTCAGCCACACCTTTTTTTGAGTCACATAAATAGGCTTTGTAAGGAGGTTTTCCTTTCGATGCAGGAGGTAAGATTCTGAAGTTACATTAATCACATTTAACTGTTTAAGTGCTAAGAACAGAACAACTTGCTTGGTGCTTGCCTGGGTACCTAACTGATAATTAAATTAGGGTTAATACTCCTTTTTCCATCTAGCACATGATGGTATCGAAGGCAGAATCTCTTCACGGGTTGTCCATTGCATTTCTCTTTACATCCTCCATGGTGTGAGATGGAGATACCTCTAGCAATCCAATTATCAGCTGTGTGTCCAAATGTGAACAAGGACCCAATTTCTTATTGGACAGCCGTGATTTTTCTTAAGCTGATAACCTGTGACTGTCTCTTGTGATCATTTCTTCTAAATTTGAGCAGCGGTGGTGGTTATGGGTTGCAGCGTGCAAAACTGTTGCTCAGCTGTATGAAATTTTCATACCAACACACTTCTTATGCCTATGTATCAGAGATACATATATATTTATATAGTATATAAATATGCAGAGATAGAAATTACCTTCACAATCACAATGAGGTCATAAAAAGTGTGTTGCATCTCGGGATGACTGCTAATCTTTGATGCTTGGAGGGGTATATAGCTCCACTCCAGCTGTGTAATAGAGCACTGTTAATTTGCCACGCTTTGCTTTATGGCTCCTAACCTTTCTTTGGCTAGATGAGCTTCCCACGTTGATTACCAGACCGCACCTCAACCAACCCGACATTCTCGACGTGCCTTCCATTGACGTGGGGACCCCTTACCTCACCAACAATAGGTATGACAATGGGAACGGTATCCAACTTCCAGGCACCTCTGGGCACCCGCAGACAATAGGACACCAGGGTCAACAAGTCGTCCTGGAGGAGCACGGCTACAGGCGGCCTGTACCCACTACAGCAACTCCCCTCAGGCCGGGGTCCAGGCGCCAACCGCCGAACGTGGACGAAGCGATTGAAATCCCTGGGTACCAAGTGCCCATCATCGTGGAACCTTCCTACCCGCACTCCCACGTGCCCAGGCGCAACGACACCATGGGTCAAGAGGCTCTTTCTCAGACTACCATCTCTTGGAGGCCGTTGCTAGAGAGCTCTGAATACATCATCTCATGCCAGCCAGTCAGCCAGGATGAAGATACTCTGCAGGTAATTGATCTGTCTCAGCACAGGAACAGTGTTAAAATCATAGAATCCTTTGGGTTGGAAGGGACCTTTCAAGGTCATCTAGTCCAACCCCCCTGCAGTGAGCAGGGACATCTTTAATTAGATTGGCTGTTCAAAGCCCCATCAAGCCGTGAGGCACACATGTGGCAGCAGATGTTTCTTGGGAGTTCTGTCCCTTTGATGTGTTAAGGTAAAGACAATGGAATTTAAGAGTTTTCTTAACATGGAGCTGAGAACAGGACAAATGTCTCCTTCCTCTCCTTCATCTCCTTCATGGAGAAAGACACAGGATAAAACCACTAAACCAGAAAGCCCTCGAAGTGCTGTCATTTCACCACATTGCACCAGGGAAGGGAACAACTGGGGAGATGACTGGGAGCTTCAAAGACCGAGGTGCTGCTTCTCCAAGCCAGACTCTTTTAGCCCTTCTCCTTTGTTTCCCTTGGTTTCTGTTTCCCTGAAAAGGCAGAAACAATGTATCCCTTGTGAAGCACAGTCTAGAGTAGTCAAGTTTAACTTGGTATTGTTTGAAGTTCTCAATGTCTATGGGGAATGGGCTGGCTCCATCAGGGTATAGACCACAGAAGTCAACCAAAATGTCTTTCCTGTGAGTGGGGTGACACCTAAGGAGTAATCACTCTTCCCTTTCTGGTGACTTGGCATTGCCTCTTGTTGCAGTTCAGGGTTCCTGGCACTTCATCCAGTGCTACACTCACTGGTCTTACAAGAGGAGCCACCTACAACATTATAGTGGAAGCCCTGAAAGATCACCGGAGACAAAAGGTGCTGGAGGAGGTGGTCACAGTTGGCAATACTAGTAAGTAAAAGCTTTATGGAGTCTAGGTGAACCTCTGCTGCCCCTGCCTCCTTGCCTTTACTCAAGGCAACCTACCTGGTGCCCAGGCTTGACAGGAGTTCAGAAAGGAAACTATTCTGACAAAGAATGTTCACAGAGCAGAGCCCTGGGACGAGTCATTTGTGAGGTTCACTGGTTTTGGATAACTGAGACACTGGCCATGTGACTAGAGCTGTTCTGATCTGTTGTCTAATCATGAAGAACATGCTTTGAGGCTTTATACACTTATCTAGGGTCTGTGCCCAGGAGTGTGAGGCACCTGGTGTTTGCTGCTTTCAAAGGAATTGAGGGATCACACTGGTGTCGCAGAGACCTGGCCAGGATCTGCTGTCACAATAACACATCGTGCTTATGGGAAGGGGCTGGTGGCCAGCTTAACTGCCCTGTCAGCGTGTTGGTTATCCAGCAGCACCACTGCACCATCCTGAAGGTCCAGCAGCAGGGCAGGCTGCCTGCAGAGGTGCTGATGAAGCCAAAACAGGCAGCATTTAGAAGCCGTGTGACCAACCACAAATACTTGTGGTCAAGAGACAGCACTTGCCACAGCTGAAAAGCCCAGAGCCCACATGCACATGTGGGACCTGGGCTTTGCTTTTACCAGCACAGGGGACTGGCCAACAACTCTCTTTTCCTCTGTCTCCTGCTGTGTGTGTTGAGGTCAAAAAGAAGAGGAGGATGGGATGGGAGAAGAAGAAATAAAGAATTAAGGATTTACTTTGTCCACTTGTTAAGCTTCTCCATGTAGCTTCCTACTGCCTCTACCTCCCTGGGAGATGAGGCTGTTTCTCCCCTTCCAGCACCCCAGTCGCCTGGTGTCTGTCCCAGGCTGAATGGGGAGCATTAACTCGTGACCCTGATCATCACACTGAACTGGTGGTTGTAAAACACCTGCCTTCCAATCAAGGCACACACAAGGTGAAAATCAGTCTGTCCAACAGCATGGTCTGGTCTCCATCTCCCACCCCCCTGCCACAAACTAGAGTCTGTAGTGCCCCAAAAAACACCACACATGCAGCTACCAACCTCCTGCTGTTCCCCAGCATCTTACAGCACGTTTCTCTTCAAAACAGGCTAAGTCAGGTTGTTGCTCTCCAGCAGCAAATGCAAAAAATCACACTTGCTTGAAACTTGGCAAATCAAAATGAAAATAGCCTTCGTGTCAGGTTTTTTTATCATTCAACCACTCTGACACATGCAAATGGAAAATACATCACAGGGAGTCTGGAGTGGTGACAGAACAGTCAAGTATATGCCCATGGGGCAGCTCCATTACTGCCAGGATATTGTATGAAAAAAAAAATAGCCTGTGTTCAGTGAAAGTCGTTCTTGTGTTCAGTAATTCCTATTGCTGGGTGATGAGTTTCTTATCTTTTTTTTCCCAGTCTCTGAAGGACTAAACCAGCCAGCTGACGACACCTGCTTTGATACCTACACCGGCTCCTCCTATTCCATCGGCGAGGAATGGGAGCGCTTGTCTGAAACCGGCTTCAAGCTCTGGTGCCAGTGCCTGGGCTTCGGCAGCGGCCACTTCAGATGCGACTCCTCCAGTGAGTAGCTTGCTTTTGCCTTGCCCCAGCTCCAGGCTCCCCGCGCACTCACGGCATGTTTGGCAGAACCAACCTGGTCCAAACATGGCGCAAACCAACGCAGGCTCAAGTTTTTAAACCAAAGCAGTGTTTTGAATCGTGTGAAGTGATGGAAAACTTTGGTTCCCTCTGAGCCGTGCAGCTTCTCGAGCATTGTCATTCACTTGTATTGATATTGCCACCAAAGTGAAATGTTTGTTGGATTTTCCCTACTTTTACCATGTGTAAAAGTGAGACAGGCAAGACACCGAAGTGGCCAAATCCAAGAAGCCATTGAAGACAGCTTTGAAGTTCCACCTCAACATGAGGAAGAACTTCTTTCCTGTAAGGGTTACAGAGCACTGGAACAGGCTCTCCATGGAGGTTGTGGAGTCTCCTTCCTTGGAGACTTTTAAGACCCGTCTGGATGAGTTCCTTTGTGACCTGTCCTAGACTAGATGGTCCTGCTCTGGCAGGGGTGTTGGACTTGATGATCTCTGGAGGTCCCTTCCAACCCCTAACATTCTGTGATTCTGTGTGTGAATTTTCATCTCCTACTTAGGCAGATGGTTGCACTGGGGCAGACAGATCTGTGTGGTTTTCAGTGGGTGTTACAGCAAGACCCAGTCTGGTTTGTGTTGCAGGCAGCAAAGCGTCCCGTGGAACCAGTGCTCCAATTTTGTCAGTGGATTTCTGAAGCTCTGTCAAGCAAGCAACACCTCTGCCAGGGCACTGATTTTTATTCTTTGCAGGACTGTGGCTTTCATGGAAGAGTGTTGTCCAGCTTCATGGAAGGGAATGGAACAAATGTTTGTGTTTGGGTTAACACAACACATATCCAACTAATTTAAATTGTGGTTTTAAGTGGTGGAGTAAACTGGGCAAAGAGGGTATTCCTGCCCTTTGCATCGACTCGGAGGAGTGACTGCAGGGAATATGCTGGTTTTACAGGACTAATATTTGTATTTCCCCATATGATAAACATGGCTTACCTGTTGTGTTTTGCAGTCTCTGCAATACAGTTTTACTTGCTATTGGCTCAAAAAAGAGCATTTAAAATATTTTTCACTCCCTCCCTGCCCCATGGCTATTAAATTCCTTTTCATTTCTTTTCCTCTACTCTTGGGCAACCCTCCCCTGTCCCTCTCCACTCTTTGTCATGTAGAAACATAAAATCATTTTGGCTGGAAGAGCCCTTCAAGGTCATCAAGTCCAACCATTAACCCAGCACTGACAGGGCACCACTAAATCATGTCCCTCAGAACCACATCTCCACAGCTTTTAAATGGTGACTCCACTTTCCTGGGCAGCCTGTTCCAGTGTTTGACAGCCCTTTTGGGGAACAAATTGTTCCTGATGTCCAACCTAAACCTCCCCAGCACAACTTGAGGCTGTTTCCTCTTGTCCTATCAGTTGTTACTTTCTCTTCTCCTAAGTGTCTCCAGGCATGCCCCAGAGCTGTAACAGTCCTCAGCAGTTACAAGCGCCAGGTGCTGAACCCTCTTCCAGCAGGAACCAGTTTCCTCCTTGGGACTTAGATGAGCTGAAAAGACTTTCTCCTGCCTGTCTGTTCGTTCCTGAGGCAACACCAAGGGGTCACTGCAGCAAGGGGGCTAACTCCTGTTTCTTCTCTTCCTCTGCCTTCTCCAGAGTGGTGCCATGATAATGGTGTAAACTACAAGATTGGGGAGAAGTGGGACCGGCAAGGGGAGAATGGCCAGATGATGAGCTGCACCTGCCTTGGCAATGGAAAGGGAGAATTCAAGTGCGAACCTCGTAAGTCTCCTCCTGATGTTAATTTAATTGAGTCCCATTCAGGAAATTTCAGCATCTCAGGGCTGTTCCCATTAACGTTTGGTCCTGCCATGAGGGCAGGCAGAGGATCAGTAAGTCTAGTTCAGGTTTTGGAGGCTGAGTCAGTGACAGTTTGAATCTGTTCTCAGAAGAGCCGAAGGCATAAAACTCACTTTTCCAAGCTTGAAAAGGGGAAAACTCCTCTCCTGCTAGCTAAGGTCACAGCACACTCAGCATCTGTCTGCCTTTGGCTCTGGAGCCATCCAACAGGGACATGTCACTGCACTAAGTGGTGCAGATCACCCTAATCTGTAACACAGGACTTTTCTACAGGGCCTGTTGCCTGAAGATCTGCACTTCACACTGTGAATTAAACTGCATTGCTCTTGTCAGGCAAATACCCTCATGTTCTAGTTTAAAGCTGGAGAGCTGTAGAAGTGACTGATGTTGCCCCTGCCAGTCAGCGAGCCTCCAGACAAACTGGGAGAATGCACTGGCCACAGGTTCCTGTTCTCATCACCAAGCTGTCCTGAGAATGTGTAAAGTCAGGTGCATACCATATAACTGAGCTCTTCCTGTGCCTCCACAGATGAGACCACGTGCTACGATGATGGGAAGATGTACCAAGTGGGAGAGCAGTGGCAGAAGGAGTACTTTGGGGCCATCTGCTCCTGCACTTGTTATGGAGGACAGCAGGTAACCAGGAGGGACTTGGTATACAGAACACGGGGGCTGAAGAGAGGAGGCTGTGCTAGAGTGCAGTTCCAAGACTGCTGGGTTTCAGGTCAGATGGTGTCTAATGCCTGGCCAAAACAGGATTACAGAATCATAGAATGGTTTTGGTTGGAGCAGACCTTCAAGATCATCAAGTCCAACCGTTAACCCAGCACTCGCAGGTCACTACTAAACCATATCCCTCAGCACTAAATCTCTATGGCTTTGAAACCCCTCCAGGGATGGAGACTCCACCATTACCCTTGGCAACCTGGGACAGAGCTTGACAAAATTTCCAGGGAAGATGTTTTTCCTGATATCCAACCTAAATCTCCCCTGGCACAACTTGAGGCAGTTTCCTCTTGTGCTACTGCTTGTCACTTGAGAGAAGAAACTGACCCCCAGCTCACCCCAACCTCCTTTCAGGGAGTTCTCAAGGGTGAGGTCTCCACTGAGCCTCCTCTTCTCCCTGCTAAACAACCTGAGGTCCCTCAACTGTACCTCCTAGACCTTTCCCTCCTTGCACTCCAGAGTTTTCCACAGCTTCACTGCCTTTCTCTGGATATGTTCCAGCCCCTCAAGGTCCTTCTTGGAGTGATAGTCCCAAAACTGAACCCAGAATTTGAGGTGCAGCCTCCCCAAGGCCGAGTCCAGGGGGACAATCCCTGCCCTAGTCCTGCTGGCCACACTAGTGCTGATCCAAGCCAGGATGCTGTTCACTTTCTTGGCCACCTGGGCACACACTGGCTCATATTCAGTTGCAGGGCTGGCTCATGTTCAGGTGGCTGTCAACCAACACCCCCAGGTCCTTTTCTCCCAGGCAACTTTCCACCCACTCTTCCCCAAGCCTGTAACATTGCATGGGGCTGTTGTGATCCAGGAGCAGGACCCAGCACTTGGCCCATAACACAACTAAAATAATTAGTAGGAGAGCTGAGGTACTTGCACTGGGGCCTGCATGGCGTAAGGCGGAGCAGGCTCAGTGGTGTTGGTGGAGCTGTGCCCACGTGCACGAATGAGCACCGGCGGCGGCTCGGCCCTCGGCGCGCTCTGACTGTCTCCGCACGTTGCGCTTCCGCAGGGCTGGCGCTGTGACAACTGCCGCAGGCCC